ATTTATTCAGTTCTTCACTTCCACTGCTTAATATTCTAAGTTAAGGATAACATATAGGCCAAATTTTGAGCTAATTATCATTTCTCTCTATTTTGCAGCTTTAACTGAACCCATAGACATGTAAGTTGCTCCACAAAGTTGTTTAAAATCAAGCATTGTTCTTTCTTTTGCTAATTTGAATGTGGCTTCGTTTTTTCCTCACTGCAGATATAGTGAATGGATTGATGAATGTGAACGGGTCAACAACCTTGAAGACGATGGCGCCTGAGAATAGGGAAAAACCACGGCTTCTTCTATCGACAACCTTGAAGATGATGTTGAATAAGAGCGAATCAGGGCTTACTTTTTGTGAAAATCTGGGCTGTAGTATATTTTTCCTGACGTTGTTGATTGTACCGTATCTATAGTGTTACGTATTAATATTTGGACTGTACTTTTGGTGATTTGAAGACAAGCCACTTCTTACCTATATATATATATATAGTTTTTGCTGATATTAACAACTTCATCCTTCCCATTTAATAAATCTCTAAATAAGAAAAAGGGTGTATTCTTAAGAAATTTATTGTGTAATTTAGAAATATAAAAAGTTTATATATTTAAATAAAAAATAATAAAATTTATATTTTTATTTGTATATCTTTGGCAATCGATGTTGTATGGTTTCTATCTTTGTTGGTCAAATTTCAATAATAATAATTAAAATGAAAAAAAATTTAAATTTAGCTGTCGATTTTGAAATTTCATTGTACTAATATTATAAATTATTGATTTGAGTTTTTAATTTTAAGTTTTAATTGTCCATTTGGATTGTTCAAATTATTTTAAAATAATATGTAAAATTATATAAAAAATTATTTTTAAATTATTATTTAAATATTAAAAGGAAGTTTTTGGGGGCATGTATGTGTATTTATTATATATATTATTAATTTATTATAAAAAATAAAAATTAACTTAAATTTTATTAATTATTTAATTAAATTATTCTATGTGATATGAAGTTGAAAATAAAACTTTTTGCATAATTTTTTATAAATTAATAGTAAAAAATGAAATAAATATACATTTAGAGTATAGATTAAATAAATTCATCTTAAAAATGAATTATATATTATTTAATAATTAACTATTTTTATTTTATTAAAACTCATAGTGTGCATAAATAACATCTTTTACATTATGATATCATTGATCAGAAAACTTTCATACTTAATTTACTTAATTTTCCATCTCTATATAATCTACTCATAAAATAAAATAAAATAAAATAAAATAAAATAAAATAAAAGTAAAAAAAGAATTAAATAAACAAATACTCCTAAAAAGAATTAAATTACCAATTACCATACCGAAAATCAAGGGAAATCCATGGCACTCCTGGGAGTAATCTGATTTGGCGACAAATGGGTTCAAGTTTAAAGACTCTATTTCTCTCTCAAATCTCTGTGAAAACTCCGGCACCATTCTAACAAACTCCATAGTCCTATCCTAACTCTCCACTACAACAACCACCACGACTCACGTGCCGGACGCAGACAGGGCAAGGACCTCTCTCAATCTTTCGAGGGGTTTCTTCAAGCTCATCTCTTTTCTCTGCTTTCGACGGAGTTTTGTTGAAGGGATTCATGGGTCGGCCTCCCAGTAATGGCGGCCCTGCTTTCCGCTTCACCGCCAATGAGGTACCCTTTTCTTTTTAGCTTTAGATATTCATGGGTAATTTCTGTAGGCAAACTTAATGGACGAGAGAATACTAAAATTTGAATTCAGAGATTAAAATACTTAATGGGTCGGGTAATTTGCAGGTTCCATCTGTTTTGTTTATGGATTATTTATTTTTTTAGTGTATCTTTTAAAAAATTTTAAGTATTGTGTTGTTTGTGATTATTCTGAAGATTTTTTTTTTTTTTTTTTTGGTTTATTTTCTTCATGTCCCTCAAATAATTTATGGTCCTTGTTTTAATGTAGAAATATAATACTATCAATATCAAAGAAATATAATACTATCAATGTTAATTTGTTGCTTTTAGGGATTTCAAATGTTCAATGCTGAGAACCCTTTAAGTCATTTACTTTATTTGATTTTAAATTTTGGTTCTTGGTTAATACCCCATAATCACAGAACCATGGCACTAGAATTTGAAAATGCAAGATTTGTTATTACTTTGGTTTGGTTGCCTTTCGTTCAATTTCTTGATTTTCGGACAAGTGCAAAGTAATTAATACTCGTTGTCCCTGTACAATGTGAAATTTTGTCCCTTTTTAGTGCTCTTGGTGGCCACTGATAAATACATGTACAAGAATTATGAATTAAATGTATGCATACCAGTATTTTGGAGGATTCAATTGGTCACTTTTAACTTGATGAAGTACAAAATGACGGGCTTGTCATGCTAAGAAAGTTTTTATAAACATTGTCTCAAGGATTTGGGTGATTTCCAAACTAAATTCTGCTCTGCTTTCATTTCATTTATTTTAGAGTGATGATTACTGGCCTTAAGTTACAGCCTTCTTTGTTTAAAAAGTAGTATAGCTTGTTATATATAGCTATCTCTTTAGATTTCTTTCCTTTTATAAATCTTAATTTTTGATAAGTTCTTGTTGGTGATTGGTGACTGAATGTAGAAATGAAATGTGAGGGAAGGGTTTCAAAATTAGACACCTGTTTTCATTAGCTGCCTCCTTGCTTCTTGCATGTTATACTTATCCATCAACAATTGTGTGACTGAAGTAGACCTAGAGCTTTTTTACCCTCTGGTACTTTCTTGCATCCTAGTTCTCTTAATTATATGTTCTTCAATTGTCTCTGCATTAAGGTTGCGGAGATGGAAGCTATTCTGCAAGAGCACCATAATGGGATGCCATCTAAAGAAATGCTAACAAGCCTTGCAGAAAAGTTCAGGTGTGCCTTGCTTGCATTTAAGATCTTTTTGTAGTATGACAATATTATCTTTCACCTTGTAAACTACTGAAATTATTGAGGCATTTGCCTTTGGTTGTAGTGAGTCAGCAGACCGAAAAGGGAAGATTGTTGTGCAATTTAAGCAAGTAAGATTCTTAAATTGAATTTCATTTAATTGGGTTAAGAAATCACCGTTTAGAGTTGTTTTCAAATTTTGTGCAGATATGGAATTGGTTCCAAAATAGGCGCTATGCAATAAGAGCAAAATTGAGCAAGGTTCCTGGAAAATTAAATGTTTCATCTATTCCTCGAGATGAATCTGTTCCTGTGAGAAATGTGCCTCAGCCTGTAGCTGCTTCAATACCTGCTCATATGACTGCTCCGATGGCTACTTCTGTACCACCTGCTTTAGGTAGAATGTATTCCAACTCTGTATTTCAAAGATTTGGAGCCTCCTTTCTATTTTTCGTAGATTTTGGGCTTTATTTAGTGATTAAACATTTATAAATAGTTAGTTTTCTGAGACTGCAAATATATTGGAGAACTAACGATGTTAAAAATTGAGATAAGATGTGAATGTTGCTCATTTCCGTGTAGGCAAGTAAAACTTTAGTCTGTGTATCTAAACCAAACTCTTAATATTTTATTTTTGTCAAGTGCACTTTGGTGCACCTCTATACTATGTAAGTTTCTTGTAAAGAGTACAAGTGTTAAATGTACAATATAATTTCAATATATTTTGGTAATTATTCTGAAACTTCTTCCATACATACTGACGAAGATCTTATGTTAAAGTTTCAAGATCAACTGCATAACCGCTTTGATATCAGCATCATGACATCATTGTATTTGAGCTGAATTTGGACTTCAATTTCTATGGCAGTTGCAACTGCAGGAAGGGCTTCTTCAGAAACCTCTTTTATGGAGTTTGAAGCTAAATCTGCTAGGGATGGTGCGTGGTAAGTACTTCTTGTCCTTTTCTAGGTCTATGGGCAGTTTTACACTGCCAATTATTTTATCTGGTGATTCTGTTTTAAATGTCATTGGCAATTTGTTTAACTCTTGTTTTCTGTTCTTAGGTATGATGTTGCAACCTTTCTGGCCCATAGATATTTGGATACCGGTGATCCGGTAATCTCGTTACTTTAGTAGTCCAAGTTATTTAGAGATTACATATTTTTAACAGATTCTGTTGTTCTATTATTGAGCTGAAATTGTTTAAATACTTTGTTACTAACACATGCACACACACACACACACACACACACACACACACAGACATGTTTGTGCATATTTGTACAAATGAAGAAAAATGCATATACATGCATGTGCACAGAAAATTTCTAATGGTATTAGTTTGCATACCTCAAAATATCTGTCTCTTTCTTGTCTCCTATTTCTTATTTGGTGTCACATGGTCTTGGCTTTGTACCCGTATGTTTAGGTTCTTTTTCATGTTAGACATCTGTTTCCTGTCTGTAGCAGGAAGTACAAGTTCGGTTTGCTGGTTTTGGACCTGAGGAGGATGAATGGGTTAATGTTCAGAAGCATATCAGACCACGTTCTCTCCCTTGTGAAGCATCAGAATGTGTTGCGGTTCTTCCTGGAGATCTCATTCTTTGTTTTCAGGTTTATACTTGCTAGCAATTGCCAATTAAAGACACATTCAGTCAATCCTTGAAAGAATTTTATGCTAGATGCCTTCTGGAAAATTCCCATGTTCAATCCTCTTAAAACTTTCAGGAAGGTAAAGATCAGGCTCTTTACTTTGATGCCCATGTCCTTGATGCTCAAAGACGGAGGCATGATGTAAGAGGTTGTCGCTGTAGGTTTTTGGTGCGCTATGATCATGATCAGTCTGAGGTACAAGTTGATTTTCTCGTTCCTCTAAAGTATTAAGGCTTCTTTCTATACATATTGTTTTCAGAATATCTTTTGTTATTTCTTATCTTCTTGTTTGGTAGCTTAAGATTGGCAAATAGGCAAGTTCTATGTCAATCTGTCTATATCAGAAGGATCACGGAACCGAACCCATTTATTAGCTAAACCTACCTGTAATGATATTTACCTATTCCTTTGTCATATATGTTAGTCAAAGATTTATTGTTGGCCTTTTAGAGAAAGTGTTTACCCCCTCTCACCTTTGCATTTCCAGTGAAAGCTTAAAAGACCTAGCATGCAAAATATTGCCCCTGAAGTTATCTCTACTGAGGGATCATATTACAAATCTGTTATACTTCTGCCTTGTCTGAATGCATTTTGGGGGCCTTTATGATCTATAGCTGATTTTCTTCCACTCTTTAGGAAATTGTGCCTTTGAGGAAGGTCTGCCGCCGGCCTGAAACTGATTACAGGTTGCAACAACTGCATGCCGCAAACGACTTAACAGCCACTGACCAGCAGAAAACCATTGCAGATCCGTCTACGGCCCCAAGGACTTTTAGTTCCTCTGTTGAAGCAATGCAGTAGCAGCAAAGACTGACCTAGCCAGGACAGCTCTAGTGTCCCATACTAATGTTTCTATAGCTGTTCAGGCCATAAACCAAGACTGTAAAAATGCCTGATTTGTTACCGTTATTAACATTACCAATCCTGCTGTTCCTGTCAGTGGTGCTTCATTGTTAAATGCACCTCTAGTGGCTCTAGATAAAACCTGCAGGAATCGTAGTAGTAGGCTTGTAGGAAACTAATCTCCACCTGCTTTGTTGAGTTGTAAGACATCATTAGTAATTAATTTCAGTTCATTATTTTGTTAGGTTTCCAACATAAGTCGGATGTTTTATAGTGTTTGTATTGTAAAATATTAATCATTGAATGGAGGGGTTTTTCTCTATTATGAGGTTCATTTTAATCTAATGGTTAGTGCTTTACTGACTAATAAAGTTTAAATTGTAGAATTTTTTTAATGTACTTTTTATTATTCTAGCTCTTCTGTACTTATTTAAGATTTAAATTTGAAATATTTAAATTAAAATTTTAATTTTTTAATCACTTTAAGGCACTTTCTTTGGACAATTACTAATTTAATGTTAGGGTTATTGTAAAATGTTGTAAAAATATATTATAGATAAAAACTAGTATCAATGAATCATTATCAAACACAATTACATGGCACATTTTAATGGATAATTTGAATTAGAATAAAGTATGTCATTAGAGAAATGGATAATCATTAGAGAAAAGTATGTCATTAGAGATAATTTTTCTATACAAATGTTTTGTTTCACGTCAAATATTCAAAGAAGGCAAAAGGGTCAATGGGACCTTGAAAACAAAACCAAACGCAGCTTACTCCCCCTCTTCCGCGGCCAAAACCGCCTCCACGTCCCTCATTCCATCTTTCCACTGAATACAAGAACCCCAACAAACGCCTCCCGATTCCCACTCAACCCAAGTCCAATTCCATGCGAAATGCGAATCTTCAACTCCCACGCCAAGAAAAGCACCCACCTTTGCTGCTTCTTCAAGGTGGGTTCTTTTCGTTGCATCGTCACCACCTGCCGGGCGGTGCTGCTGCCGCGTTTCGGTGGGCCTGAGTTGCTGGAGCTCCGGTCCGACGTCTCCGTCCCCGACCTCAAGCCTAATGAGGTCCTCGTTCGTGCCCGAGCTGTCTCAATTAATCCGCTTGACACAAGAGTGAGTTTGAGCTGTGGGGTTTAGAATTCAGTTCTGGATTAAGTTGATGTTTTGTTACTGTTTGATTAATTAACAATGATTTTGTTATTTTGGGTTTTATTTTGATTGTTTGGTTTCTGAGAAAATCCCTGACATGTAATTAAGATGAATTTATCTTTGTTGAGCTGAAATGGCTGTATTTCAATGTTCTCAGATGAGATCAGGCTATGGTCGCTCCATATTTGAACCACTTCTGCCTCTCATTTTGGGTCGTGACATTAGCGGTGAGGTTGCAGCTGTTGGAACTTCAGTGAGGTCACTGAGTGTTGGGCAGGAAGTTTTTGGTGCCCTGCATCCAACTGCTGTGAGGGGCACATATACCGACTATGCAATTCTTTCAGAAGATGAACTTTCTCCAAAACCAGCATCAATTACTCATGCGGTAAGTTATTTTCAGCTGAAAAATAAAGTATATTACTTCTTTTTGGTACCATTTGCACAAACTTTCACTTGCAGGTTACTCTGATTCATGGTGGTCTGGCTGTTCATTTGATCACATATCATTTTAAGAGTTAGTGTAGATTTTATGTCTTTCATCTATTTCCTTATTTTATTCTGTAATATGAATTTGAGAACCCTTTCTTCCTTTCTTCGCTCTAGGAAGCAAGTGCAATTCCTTTTGCTGCATTGACTGCCTGGAGGGCTTTAAAAAGTACTGCTAGGATAACTGAAGGGTATGCAGTCTTACTTTGCTTGAGTCTGTGTTCTGGTGTTTCATTCCCATTTATTTCTCAAGGCATTTATCATGTTGGGATCACCAGTTGATAGGCAATTGTGAGCGTAAATTTTGGTGGAATTGTATAATACAGAACAAATACACAGCAAGCTCTTGAAACATAAAGCACTTAATCATATTGCTGATTGAAAGTTTGAAACACAGGACAGCAGCTTGATTTGAGATGGGAATTAAATATGCTCTTATTCAATTGCAAACTTGATATTGAATAGATGATATGGTTGTTAAATAATTAGATTCTTTGAATGCTATGAAGACAAAATAACTCATAACTTTATCGGTGGAGAATATAAATGGGTATGATGTCATCTTGCTTCTGTCATCATCTTCAAGGACCTTTTTGGTTGAGGATAAAGAAAGATACTGCAATATCCTGACTGGAGTTTTATCATGTGTTTTTGGACTTCTGTTTTTCATTCCTTCTCCTTACTTTTTCATAAACTCATTTGACAGGCAGAGGTTGTTGGTAATAGGTGGTGGAGGAGCAGTAGGTTTTTCTGCTATTCAGCTAGCAGTAGCTGCTGGGTCCCATGTTACAACTACGTGCGGTCCTCAAAGTATAGAAAGAATATTGGCAGCAGGTGCTGAGCAGGCTGTTGACTACACTGCTGAGGTGATGATGCCTTTATTTATTAAGTACATAGTTTGCTTCAATCTCTGGTGCTAGCTGTTTGAAATAAAATTTAAATTATAGGTGGTTGCAAAATGATCCTCTGATCCATGAGCTGATTGTCAATTTCCAGGACATTGAATTAACAATTAAGGGGAAATTTGATGCCGTTCTGGACACTATTGGTGTACAAGAGACGGAAAGGATAGGAATCAATTTTCTGAAGCGAGGTGGACATTATATGACACTTCAGGTAAGATATGGAAAATTCTTACCATTGTTTCTCTCAAGGAAGAGATTTCATTCCCTTATATTTTTTGTTGAATTGTTGGGCTTTCAAATGGTGTCCTGAGGACAATACCCTCACCTTTTGAATGTGGGATTTGCAACTTAGAAGTCTCAACTTAGAAGTCTCATATTCAAATCCTTGGGGAAGGGGTGGGGGAGCCAAGGTATCGTTATCCCTGTCACATAAACCTACAATGCAATACCAAAAGAAGTTATAACGTCCTATCCTTTAAATTCTGCCTAAGAAGGAATTTGATTCCATGCCTAGATCATTTCCTATATTTTACCATCTTATTAGCTAGCACCAGTTTTTTTCTGAAAGCTTAGGTGTAATGTTGAAGGTTTGGTTGTCTTTTGTTACAGGGTGAGGCAGCATCATTGAGTGATAGATATGGACTAGCAATTGGGCTACCTCTTGCTACAGCTGTTTTGCTGAAGAAACTAATTCAATATCGATCTTCTCATGGAATAGGTATAATGATTATATTCTAATCAATGCATAATGTTTGTTGAAAGTGTCAATTTTACATTTGTTTCTCAGGTCAAAGCCCGTAAAATATCTAATAAGGGAGGGAATGATGTTCCTAAAGATTTTCAGGCTGTTTAACTTCTTAGTAATGGCTTCATAATTTTGTTGACCATTGTCTATTACATCTGCATATCCATATTAGGGTTGAAGAATTTCACCCAAAACCTGAGGAAAGATAGGTAGTTGCAGGATAATTTACTAAGTTGATTACTAGTAACAAATTACAAATATGCATGACTCTCCTGATAGACCTTTTTTTTATCAGGGGGTTTTCTTCTTTGACACTGTTCTTTTGTGGTCAAATGAAACCCAAAGGCTTTGCAGGTTCAACAAATGGGAAGGGTTTACCTAGGCTACCATCTTTCTTTAAAAATTACATCCTTTTTTACCAAGATAAAAGAACATTATACTGCTTCAGCCTACGCAGTCAGGACTTATGTCTATTACTGCTTGTCTGCTTCAGTTTCTTCAAATAGAAACAGAAACTCTTTATTGTCAGGCATTGAAACTAGTTTCTGATATGTGAGTTTAAGTTGTCAAGAGGTCTTTTAAGTCTAGTCTCTAGAAGGAATATAAGTTATATGACGATGAAGAATGCCTATATCTATCTTTATTTCCCTTAGTCCTTTTTCTCTCTGATTTTGAGGTAATTTTAACTTCCATGCTAGTTCATATGAGAATGAATTGATGTTTCTCTTGGAAGCATTAGTGAAAGGCTTTAATTATTTTGTTATTTCCTTTCTTTCCTTTTGTGGTTTAATTATTTAACTTCTAAAAGTATTCACTTTTTATTTTTGGCTTAGAAGGCTTGAGGTTTTGTATGTAGTAATTCTCACCTTTATATGGTATACAACACCCGTCTTAATGTATATGACCTTTGATCTCTAGATCATAGCCTTTTACTTTTGATGTTTGATGATGCAGAATATTCATGGACGTATATGAGGGCTGACTCGGAAGGTCTGGAAGAGATACGGAGGTTATCTGAAGCTGGGAAACTGAAGATACCTGTAGAAAAATCATTTCCCATCATACAAGTTAGAGAGGCTCACGAGGCCAAAGACAAGAAGAAAATACCTGGTAAAGTAGTGTTGGAACTTGATTGAAATAAAAACCATAATAACTTTTCATTTTGCATCTTCTTTCATTTGTTTTTTTTCCTTTGGGGGATAGTTTTACGGTTACCAATATGTTGTACATTTGTGGAAGTTTTCGTTGGCAATCTGTAAATGTTTAAGCATGTTATTTTCCTCTCCATATTTCACTTTTCTTTTTTGCATTATTTTTGGGCTAAATTTTTACCTACTCTCTGATATATAGGCGATTGTTTTTTGCATTTTTTTTCTGAACTTTCGAAAGTTTACTAATGAGGGATTCAAATTTTTATTATTCCTAGTTGAGATCTCGACTTTTCAGAATTTTCTATTCAAGGACTCAAACTTATCAATTTTACTATAAAAGGCTTTGTTGGATGAAATGCTTATGTGGGTTTCTTAATTCAGTTAAAGTGATCCACATTTTAAGTACTAGTTTGTCAAAAAACTACTTTATCATCGCCAATATGGGTAAGATTGAGACCTTCTTGGGTTTATCGCGGGTCCCCACTAATGGTAATTTTTCCTCCTTCTTTTTTGTTTTTATTTTTTAAAATTTTTTTTGGTTTTTAACAAAAAAAAAAAAAAAAAATTGTTTATAACTATTTTGTTTTGTGTCGCCGATGGCAAAGCAATTGTTTGACAAATTCAAGGTTATCAATAGTGGATGGCGGTTAATGGTAAAAAGCTATAAATTTGCTATGATAGTGTAGTGGGTACTGAGGTGGTAGCTATTGCAAAATAGGGACCATAAAAAAAAATTATAAATTTAATTAACAAAATAATAGGCCTAATTAAAAATATTAAGAAGAGCACAGATGGATTAAGTATTGATTTTGACGAGCATATTATGATGAAATACTAATCCACATATATAATATCAAGACGACTTGTTTTTTTTGAAATTTTTTACCCACTTGATGAAATAGTGGCTCACATGTATCAAGTACCAGATATCTAAGTAGTACATTTTACGAAATAATAGAAGGCAATTGTCCTTGTAACTCCAGGTTAACAAGCTAAGTGTATAATTCAAACAGAAAGAAAAGATACTATGTCGGCGGCATTACTACAAATATATATCAACATGACTTTAGACAAGTCCCCTAACCTTTACCTAAATGGAAATTATAGTAGCAAAACTAACTTTCCAGAGTTAACCAACAACACTTCCAGAAGGAAACTTTTCTCCCTAATGCTTTTTAAACTTTCTTCTTATAATATTATTTACATATTTTCACACATAAAGTTAATTTCTTTTGCTCTTTTGAGTACTACTGAGTTTTCCATAACCACAAATCTCCTTGAATCCACTATTCACAAATCTGAAGAACTCATATTTTTGGTATTAAAGAGAAGAAAGATGGAATTTGGTGGGAGTAAGAGATCTTGCAAACTTAGGTCATCACTGCCGTGGCGATGAGCACTTCGGGGAGGATATTTTACAGAGAATAGAGAATTTCTCCGTTAAGTTAAATTGTAGTCACTGCCAAATGGTGAGCTGATTTTAGTTGGATGATGAATCAGACGATGAGATGTTCAAATTTAATGAACTGTCATTTCGTTATTGGATGGGGATAACATCTGATGTGGTGTCCCCGTTGTATAGTATACTTTTTCAATTAAAATTACCAGAACTTAGAAAGGAGTCCAGTGGGGCGCACAACAGTTGACATAATTCAACAAAGAAAAAGTAAGAAACTTTTTTTAACATATCTTTTAATAATATGGATTAAAAGTGTGAAAAATATAT